GTGTAGGTACTCAGTAAATTAGTAAATTCTTATTAACGTTAGCCCCCTAGCCTTGCTATAGAGGGTGCATGCTGAGCCCGAAGCAGAGAGCTCTGTCATCTCTGCATTCATCACCACCACACCAGGAGGCCTGAGAAGCTTCTAGCACTGTTTGCACCTTCCCCACCACATCACCCCTCCCTGCCTTCCTCACAGTCTTCCTTCTGATCAGAAGACCCTTTCCTTCTTTCTCTGCCTGTCAGAATGCTGCTCACTCTTCAAACCCTAGCTCATATGAAAGTGTCTGGTGTGAGCCCACTTTTTTCGAATTGATTCTGTATCTTTGATACAACTGTATGAGGGTTCTCCAGAGAAACAACCAATAGAGGGGAGAGATGTAAGAAATTGGTTTAAAGGTTCAAATGCTAATCTCATCCAAAAACTCCCTTAGAGACACACCCAGAAATAATGCTTAACCATGTATCTGAGCACCTCCTGGTACGTCAAGTTGACATACAAAATTAACCATCGCAGCAGCCATACATTTAAACATATTTGTACTAGAGAACTCACCTGATTCTACCTGCACTTCAGATGCTTAAGACATGTCTGTTTTCTCCACTTTCCCCAACCAGATTGTGAGTCACTTTCATCTAAGTTCTTGGTTTTTTTGTTTGTTTTTGAGACGGAGTCTCGTTCTGTCGCCAGGCTGGAGTGCAGTGGTGTGACCTTGGCTCACTGCAACTTCCACCTCCCGGGTTCAAGTGATTCTCCTGCCTCAGCCTCCCGAGTAGCTGGGACTACAGGTGCCCGCCACCACGCCTGACCCTGGTCTTGTTTTTTCCTTCTTTGAATCCCGTAGGGCCTCAGTGCTGTGCAGCACATAGTTAAAACTGAAAAGATTTCTCAAATAAAAGTAGTTAACGTTTTTATTCTTTACTTCAAGGTATATCTTCATGAATAACCTCAATGATCCCCCAAACTGGAATATCCGGCCTAATTCCAGGGCGGATGGTGGTGATGGAAGCAGATGGAATTATGCCCTGTTGGTTCCAATGCTGGGACTGGCTGCTTTTCGTAAGTCATGGTTTTCTTAAAATTCATATTTTCCAGGCTGAGAGTGTGGAGCCCTGGTGAGGGAGGCAGCATGATGTGGGAGCCTGAAGGCCGTGACTTTGGGACCTGCCAGGGACAGCCGAGTTTTATCCCATGCAGTGAACCGTGGGCCAATCATTTAACCTCTGAGCCTCAGTTTTCCTGTTCACAGGAGATGGATAATCATACTTAACCTCAGCACATTGTGAGGATTAAGTCAGCCAAGGCGTTTAGAAGCATTTTGTGTGGGGTGGGTTTTAATAACTTAGTTCCCTCTCAAGGCTTTGCAGCTCTCAATTCAGGGGGGACAGTTCCTTGTTTCAGGTGCCCTCATAAGGACTGATGGGGGAAAAAATGGGTGTAAAGGAAACCAGTGGACTGGGCGTGGTAGCTCACACCTGTAATCCCAGCACTCTGCGAGGCCCAGGTAGGTAGATCACATGACCAGCATGAGCCACACAGCAAAACCCCATCTCTACAAAAATACAAAAATTAGCCAGTCGTGGCCATGCACACCTGTAGTCCCAGCTCCTCAGGAGGCTGAGGTGGGGAGATCAGTGGAGCTGGGAGGTCGAGGCTGCAGTGAATAGAGATAGCACCACTTGCCCTCCAGCCTGGGCAACAGGGTTTAAAAAAAAAAAAAAGAAAACCAGTTTTGGAAAACCAGTGATGTTTAATGTTTAGGAAATCAATCTTCGGAGACTTCATTCAGGAAATCTCTGCTTGGCCTGGCCAGAAATTCTCTCTAGTTTAGATTGACTTGGCATCATGTTGGGGACCTGTCAGTCACATGCAGACTTATATCCCCACCACACAATCAATTCACTGATGCAGAGGAGTGCGTTCTGTGTTTCTTCACGTTCCATGGTTCTGGGCTGGCACTTAGGAACATGAGAGACTGAGTAATTGAACGGAAGAAAGGCAAAACTGCCCTCTAGCTGTAGTGATACATTTTACGTAGAGGCTTTTTATCTGCTTCGATGTCTCAGGTCAGGAGTTTTGCTGTAGAGGAAGAGGAGGCTGGTAAGAGCAGGTGGTTTTTATGACTCAGTGATCTGCACAGTGCTTGCTTCTTGGTGAAAGACAGGGCAGGTCCACAGCCAGTGCTAAGGGGCTGCCATGTGAAAAGCTCACCCGCCTGCAGGCTTGGGAAAAAAAAACACTTAACATTTGGAGAGGCTACTGTTGCCTGTGGCTAGGGTGAGTGGATTGGAAGGCTGAAAATTACTCTTACTAATGTAATAATTAATTGGCTTTGAGGCTGGGAGAGGCCCTGAAGTGACTCATTTTCCATTTGTTTTTCAGACTCATCTCCAGCTTTTATAGCCTTTCATGATAACTTTCGCTTTTGAAATTCTTACCTCCCCTTCTTGGACTTTTGAAATGATGCTTTCTGTCCATGAAAAGGGTTGAAGAATATTTTATTTTTTCTTTTTGGTTTTTTGCTGAGGTAGTGTGGTGAGAGATAATTGTTAATTTGGCATTCTTGTAATGATTCTCCAAAGGTGTGTTATGATGTGTTTGAGGTTCTGTTGCACACAGGAGCATTAACCAGCCCCTAGTGTAGTCTAGAAGAAGAGGCAGACATATGAATACTTCGTAAGCGCCATTGATTGATTTATTGATGAGAAGCCAGTTTTGTCCTGATCACTTACTACATTTACTAGATTTTTTTTTTTTTTTTTTTGAGACGGAGTCTCGCTTTGTCACCCAGGCTGGAGTGCAGTGGCGCGATCTCGGCTCACTGCAAGCTCCACCTCCCGGGTTCACACCATTCTCCTGCCTCAGCCTCCCGAGTAGCTGGGACTACAGGCGCCGCCACCACGCCCGGCTAATTTTTTGTATTTTTAGTAGAGACGGGGTTTTACCGTGTTAGCCAGGATGGTCTCGTTCTCCTGACCTCGTGATCCACCCGCCTCGGCCTCTCAAAGTGCTGGGATTACAGGCATGAGCCACCGCGCCCGGCGTTTTTTTTTTTTGAGACGGAGTGTTGCTCTGTCGCTTAGGCTGGAGTGCAGTGGCGCAATCTCGGCTCACCGCAACCTCCGACTCCCAGGTTCAAGTGATTCTCCTGCCTCAGCCTCCTGAGTAGCTGGGATTACAGGCACCCACCACCACGCCTGGCTAATTTTTGTATTTTTAGTAGAGACAGGGTTTCACCATGTTGGCCAGGATGGTCTCCATCTCCTGACCTCGTGATCTGCCCACCTCAGCCTCCCAAAGTGCTGGGATTACAGGTGTGAGCCACTGTGCCCAGGCCATTTACTAGATTTTTACTTAACATAACATAGAAATATGTGTAATTGTGCTTGCCTGAAAGAGCAGTCCCTGGAGAAATTCTTACCCTGAGTAGCTCCCCTGGGAGACTATTCAGTATTTCAGCGCTCCAGTGGGCTTCTCTCTCTTCACACCTCCTCTGTCATTCTGCTTTCCCCCCTTTTCTCTTGGTCTTTCTGATTCCCCTTTCCCCATCTCTCTCTCCGTGCTTTTCCCCTCTCTCCATGCTTTCTCCCCTCTAGCGTTCCTGTACCTCCCATTTCTTCTCCTGACCTAGAAAACACATGGTCTTAGAGCTGAAAGGGACTGGTTGAGTTCACGGGGCCCACCTCAGTTTCTTTTAATTTATTATTTTATTCTGGGGTCATGTAAGTCACATGCAGTTGTCGTCAGTAATACAGACAGCCCACACACCCTCTACCCAGCCTTCCCCAATGGAAGCATCTGCAACATGACAGTGCAGTGTCACAGCCAAGACATCTGCCAGGATGCCGTCAAGATCCCCCACTCCCGGGCCCCTCGTGCGGCCCTGTGTTCCGCCCTCCCTCCACGGCCCCCAGCAACCACTGATCTGTTCTTCATCTCCAGAACTTCGTCATTTCAAGAATGTTATATAAATGAAATCAAACAGTGTATAACCTTTTGGGTTGACTTTTTTCACTCAGCGTAACCCCCTGAGGTCCGTGCAGATTGTTGCTGTATCAGTAGTTCATAGATACTTTCATTGCTGAGTGGTGTTTGATGACATGGGCGTACCACAGTGTGTTTAACCACTGAAAGACATCTGGGTCCTTTCCGGTTTTCAGCTGTTATGAATAAAGCTCTCATAAACATTCTTGTGTAGGTTTTTGTGTCAATGTAAGTTTTCATTTCTCTGGGATAAAGGGCCAGAAGTGAAATTAATGGGTGTTATGGAAGTTGCACGTTTAGTTTTTTAAGAAAGGGCTGAAATGTTTCACAGGTGGCTGCACCGTTTTAGGTTCTCACCAGCAATGCAGAGCTGATCGGGTTCTCCACCTCCTGGTTGGCATTTGGTGCTCACACTGCTGTCCCGTCTGCCCATCCTGTGGGTGTGTGGTGCTGCCACGCATTGCTGGCTCCCGTGTTCCGCCCTCCCCTCCACGGCCTCAGCAACTACTGGGATCTGTTCTTCATCTCCAGAACTTCGCTATTTCCCAAGAATGTTATATAAATGAAATCAAACAGTGTATAACCTTTTGGGTTGACTTTTTTCACTCAGCGTAACCCCCTGAGGTCCGTGCAGATTGTTGCTGTATCAGTAGTTCAGATACTTTCATTGCTGAGTGGTGTTTGATGACATATGCATTTCACAGTGTGTTTAACCACTGAAAAAGACATCTGTCCTTTCCGGTTTTCAGCTGTTATGAATAAAGCTCTCATAAACATTCTTGTGTAGGTTTTTGTGTCAATGTAAGTTTTCATTTCTCTGGGATAAAGGCCAGAAGTGAAATTAATGGTGTTATGAAGTTGCACGTTTAGTTTTTTAAGAAAGGCTGAAATGTTTCACAGGTGGTTGCACCGTTAGGTTCTCACCAGCAATGCAGAGCTGATCGGGTTCTCCACCTCCTGGTTGGCATTTGTGCCTACACTGCTGTCCCGTCTGCCCATCCTGTGGGTGTGTGGTGCTGTCTCATCGTGGCTCCAGTGTGCGACGTCGAACATCTCAGCATGCTCACACTGCTGTCCCGTCTGCCCATCCTGTGGGTGTGTGGTGCTGTCTCACTCGGCTCCAGTGTGCGACGTCGAACATCTCAGCATGCTCACACTGCTGTCCCGTCTGCCCATCCTGTGGGTGTGTGGTGCTGTCTCGCCATGGCTCTGCTGTGCAGTGTTGAGCATCTTTTCTCATCGTGGCTCAAGTGTGCAACGTCGAGCACCTCCTCACGTGCTCATTGCCATCAGCATATCCTGATGGAATGAGTATTCTTGTCTTTCAGCCATTTTCTAATAGACTATTTGTTTTTTAATGTTGAGTTTTGAGAGTTGTTAATATGTCTTAGATTCTAGTCCTTAGTTGCATACGTGGCTTGCAAGTATCCTTTTCCAGTCTGTAGCCTGTCTGTTCATTCTCTTCATGGGGCGTTTGCTGTGTAAAAGTTGTACTTTTGATGAGGGGCAGCTTCTCATCGTTTCCTTTTACGAACTCTACTCTTTGTGGAAAGTCTAAGAATTCTGCCTAGCCCTAGATCCTGAAGTTTTTTTCTCCCTAGAGTTTTAGTTTTACATTTTACATTTAAGCACTTACCCATTTGAGTTAATTTTGTTATAAGGGATAAGACTTTAGTTGTATTTCTTCTTTCCAGCCTGTTTGCCTTTGATTGCTTGTCTTGCCTTCCAGCGGTAGCTGGAACTTCTGGGACTCTGTCGGACGGTCCCTGACCAGAGAGAGGACACACTCAGCCTCTCCCAGCTAAGTACAGTGTCAGCCGCAGGTTTTCTGTGGATGCTGTTTATCAAGTCAAGGAAACTCCCCTGTATTCCTGTTTTTCATGAATAGGTGTTGAATTTAGTCCTTTTTTTTGGTTTAAATTGATGTGCTCATGTGATTTTTCTTCATCAGCTTAGTAACGTGTTGTTTGTTTTGTTTTGTTTTGTTTTGTTTTGTTTTGAGACAGAGGCTCGCTCTGTCACCCAGGCTGGAGTGCAGTGGCGCAATCTCGGCTCACTGCAAGCTCCACCTCCCGGGTTCGCGCCATTCTTCTGCCTCAGCCTCCCCAGCAGCTGGGACTACAGGCGCCCGCCACCACGCCTAGCTAATTTTTTTGTATTTTTAATAGAGACAGGGTTTCACCGTGTTAACCAGGATGGTCTCGATCTCCTGACCTCGTGATCCACCTGCCTTGGCCTCCCAAAGTGCACAGCGCCCCGCCAGTAATGTGTTAGATTACATTGATTTTTGAATATTGAACCAGCCTTTTGTCTCTGGAGCAATCCCCCCGTGGCCATGCTGTAGAATTCCTTTTACATATTGTGGAATTATGTTTGTGGCTAGGCTGCAGAGGATTGCTCCTGTGTTCATGGGGGAGTCCTGAGCCTCTGCCCGGGGCGCGCTGCTCTTGCTTCTCCATGTCTAGTCCATCATTCCAGTTTTTCTTCCAGTTGTTCTGTTTTTCAGTTCTAGAATTTTCATTTGGTTCTTCTTTATGTCTTCTGTTTGTTTTCGTAGACTCTCTGTCATGGCGGCTGCTCTGAAGTCCTCGTCAGATACTACTGCCGTCTCTCATCCTGCTATTGGCATCTGTTGGTCATCTTTGTTCATTTAGCAGGACCCGTCCTAACCTTTGGTACTATGAGTGATTTTCTGCTGGAACGTGGGCATTTTGGGTATTGCGTGATGAAACACTGGTTTTTATTTAAATCTTCAGTTTTAGCTAGCGTTCTTGAACAGCATCTTGGCCGGGGAAGGGCCACGCAGCCTCCTTACCGCCGGGTTGGGATAGAAGTCCAGGCTCCCACTCAGCCTCTGGCCCCCGTGGGCCCCCGAGGAAAGGGTGGGAGTTCCAGCCCCCTGGCCTCTACTGGTGCCCCTGGCTGGGAAGGCCTCAGCGCTGCTCCCCATGTGGCTCCCCCCGACCCCACCCTGTGTTTGCCACTGGGTGGGAGCGGGAGCCCCAGCTCCCATCCTGCCTTTGCCTGTGTGGGTGGAGGTGGGGCCGCAGTTTTTTCTGTATTACTTGGCTGATGTAGAGTGATTACTGTCGGAATGTTTTCTCTCTTACCAGGCCCCTATCATGGTCCTTTGGGCCGAGATAGCAGGTTCTGTTGGAGTTTTTTTTGTCTGCACCCGTTGAGATTTCCAATTACCTGTGTCTTCAGCTCCAAGTCTAGGATCTATGAAGCAAAATGAAAATCTAGAGGACTTGCCCCCATGTTGTTCCTGAGGTCCCAGGGACCCAAGCCAGTCTCCCTTCTCTCTACCTTTCAGAGTCATCTTGTTTTATCGATGAAGTCCAGGATTTTTAGTTCAATTAGAAGAAGAATAGGGAGGACGTCTACTGTGTCTTCTTAGTTTCCTTAGAAGAATAGGGAGGACATCTACTCCGTCTTCCTAGAAGCAGGAGTCCCACCTGAAACCGAGGCTTTGAAAAGTCGCATGTGCCCAGAGTCATGAGGCGTCTGTCGGGTCAGACTCGGAATTCAGGTTTTCCTGACGCCCAGCCTGTCGTGCCACATTTTCAGCTGCCTGTAGCCTCCCCTGCCTAGCTCCCCGTCCAGCCCCAAACTTCCCAATAACCACAGCCTGTGTGGTGGGGTCTGATGATTAGCTGTATGCATCACTGTCTGTGTTAGTTTTCCAGTGGTTTTACTTGTCAATGATGTGACTTGACTGAGATCGCCCCCAGACTGTATCAGAGAGCAGCTGCCTGTCTCCTCTTGATTCGACCCCACCCCTCCCAGCCCCATCCCTCCCAGCCCCACCTCCAGCCCTCCACACCTCCAGCCCTCCACACCTCCTGGATGCTCTTAAGTCACTTTAATTCCTTTGACTCCTCATGGCTGCAGAGCACATCCCGTGCTCCTTGTCCGGGTCTCCTGGGGGCGCCTCTCATTTGGCACCTGTGACTTTCCAAAGGCAGCGCCAGCTTCTCCTTGACATAAGCCCCACCCCCAGGCACATCTGGCTCCTGGAACCTCCTGCTCTCCCAGGCTCTCGCCTGCCCTGCTCATTTGATTTCTGGTAACTTCCTTGCAGCTCCTGCTCAGCCTTCCAGACTTTGTTCATTCACCTTTTTATGAAGCCTTCCTTGACTTCACCAAAACCAGACGAGCCTTCCCTTCTCTCTCCTCACATACCTTTGCAAACCCCTCAGTGCTCATCAAGTGACATTGTAGCAGCTTCTTTCCTGGTCAGGCCTCTGCCTGTGAGCTCTTGTCAAAGGGAGGAGATAAAGATGACATGAGTTTGAGTTGTCATCTGAAGTAGGACTAGCAGCTATTTTTGGTTGAGGAAGGATGAGTTTGGTTTTGTGCTTACGTGGTGAGGTGTCAACAGCATATCCAAGGGAGACTGGCTTTCAGGCTAATGGAAATCTTGCTGTCATGGAATTGCTCCCACAAAGGCCATTAATGACCCAGGAGAAAAAGGTGACCATTAATGACCTGGGAGAAAAGAACTGAATGTCAAGGACACCACCTGGGTTGGGGGAAGCGGTGAAAGGAGGAGAGAACCATGAAAGTGGATGGAAACTCCAGTGGTTCTAGAAGGGGCTATGGACGAGGGAGTTCCACAGAGTGGTTCGTGGGGGATGGGTTGCAGGATAGAAGCGCACAAGGGAACCCACACTGCTGCTTTCAGTGGCTTTTGGGGCCTTGGGCTTTGAAAATTTGCCATACAATCCTGTTTTCCAGAGGACGCAATTCCGTGCTGCTTTTAGAACGTCTAAGCAGAACGCATCGCTATTTGGAACAACTGAGACTTAGCAGTAGTTGCTCTAACATGTATGAAATTATTGAGCAATAGCATCAGTTCGGAATGTGGATGGAACTATTATCACACGGTCATTTTTTTATTGTTGAAACACACCCAACTCTTACTTGTGGGACAGGCAAAGAGTCGGTGACTCCATCTGGAGCCAGGTGCCCGCTGGCCGGCAGGCTCTGTGGGTCATCAGGTCTTAGAGGCACTGGATTTCTCTGCAGCAGCACAGGCCGCCCTGCTGCTCCTTGGTGTGAGGGGCAGAGCCGGGCAGTGCCCACTCCGGGGCAGAGCCGGGCAGTACCACTCCAGGCCTCCCAGCAGTCCCCGGGCCCTGCTGCTCCCTTGGGTGTGAGGGGCAGGCCGGGCAATGCCCACTCCAGCCTCCCAGCAGTCCTCCCGCTCCCGCTGCTCCCGGGCAAGGAGGGGCAGGGCCGGGCAATGCCCACTCCAGCCTCCCAGCAGTCCCTCGTCCTGTTGCTCCTGGTGTGGAGGAGCCGGGCAGTGCCCACTCCAGCTCCTCCCAGCAGTCCCCGTCCTGTTGCTCCTTGGGTGTGAGGGGCAGGGCCGGGCAATGCCCACTCCAGCCTCCCAGCAGCCCCCGTCCCGTTTTTGTGAGATTCCGGCAGTCTCCAGTTTGAGGAAAGAAGCCCACTGTGTCTTGAGGCTAAACTTTTTAACCTACTTTATTTTTATGTGTCCTTATCAGAACGTAAGCAGTGTCTCAAACTCAGGCCGTTTACTCGTTGCCACCAGGCAAGGCTAAATACAACTTTTATAAGAACCCGGCCAACGGTAGTTGAAGCCGACCCCAAATATTTTAAACTTTGCCAGTTGTACTAGAGCCAGAGCAGGCAAATGGTGGTGGGTTTGAGAGGAGAAAAAAGCAGTGGTAGATCTTCTTAGCAACAAACAATTAGACGACGGAAAGGGTTAGGGTTAGGATCTTTTGGTCACCCAGCCCTTACCTGATTTTAAGATAAGACCTTGGCCTGTTACACGTTTTTATACAGAAGTGATCTTCTTGGTACGGCTGAGGTCTTAAGCTTTTATTGAAATGCTATCCTTAGCTGCCTTATGATTTAAGTGAAAATTATAGAACTTCAGCCCTAACTTTTTCATTTTGTGTATTTTTCTCCATTCACGTCAGGTTGGATTTGGTCTAGGGAATCCCAGAAAGAAATAGAAAAAGAGAGAGAAGCCTGCCGTCAGAGAACTACTGCTTTTCAACAGGATCTGGAAGCCAAGTACCATGCCATGATCTCAGAAAATCGGCGTGCTGTTGCTCAGCTGTCCTTGGAACTCGAAAAGGAACAGAACAGAACAGCTAGTTATCGAGAAGCCCTTATCTCTCAGGGGCGCAAGTTGGTAGAAGAGAAGAAGCTTCTAGAACAGGAACGGGCCCAGGTGATGCAAGAAAAAAGGCAGGTGCAGCCTTTGAGAAATGCGTATTTGAGCTGCCTGCAAAAGGAAGAAAACTGGCAACGGAGAGCCAGGCTTTTGCTGAAAGAGTTTGAAGCTGTTCTCACGGAAAGACAGAATATCTACTGCAGTCTGTTTCTTCCTCGCAGCAAGCGGCTGGAGCTAGAGAAGAGCTTACTGGTGCGAGCGTCCGTCGACCCCGTTGCCGCTGACCTAGAGATGGCAGCCGGTCTCACCGACATATTTCAGCACGATACATACTGTGGTGAAGTCTGGAACACCAACAAACGCCAGAATGGCAGACTCATGTGGCTCTATCTCAGATACTGGGAACTAGTTGTGGAACTGAAGAAGTTTAAGAGAGTAGAGGAAGCCATACTAGAAAAGTAAGACAAGGATGAAATAAAACTGCTTTTAGTGACGCGAGGCCAGGCAGTCATGAGCCTTCTGGGCCTCTGGCGTCGTCTGTCCCTTGCTGCCTGTGCCATGGCCACACCGCCACCCTTCAGCAGCGACCTCCACTCCCGCCATCCTCGGAGCAGAAGTGCCCGAAGCCTCAGAGACAGAGGGTTTCCTCCTGACGCTCTGCAGCTGCTGGGGATGTGGCTTCTCTGAAGCATTTGTAAGCTGCCCGTATTGTATCAAGCAGAACAGTGTAACCTCGTATTTTAGCTCCAGGGTAAAAATGGTTTTTTAAAAAGTCAAATACGATACTGGTCCTTACCACAAGTACTTTTCTGTGTTTCATCACTCCCTAAATACTTTCTCCTCAAATTATTTTTCTCTCACCAGATTACATTAAGAATTTGTCAGATAATGTGTAGAACTGCATAACAGATGATAATAGAAAGTAGTAATATATTATCAAGGTTTTTTATTTTAAAGATCTCTCTCCCATAAAGGGGAAGGAAACACCAAGTGTTTCTTGTATCCAGTTGGTACCTAATGTGTTTGGAATTTGGCTTGTGTCTGTATTCAGCAAGCAGATATTTATTAGCAATGATATATACTCAAAAATACTTGCCATTTATGAGTAATAATGCCACTTTTTATTTGTGTAATTCTTTGCTCTTTACAAAATATTTTTATATATATTATCTCATTGTTTACTGCAACCAACGTGGTAGACAGGTATTACCGCCCCGTGTCACACATAGCTGCTGGGAACTGAGCCTGTAACCTCTTCACTCATGGGATCCCCAGTCTAATCCTGTGAAGTAGGTATTACTATTATTCTTTGCAGGGGTGCCCCAAGGCCAGCCCCCGGTTGCATAACCTGCTGGGAGATCTCATAGGACTCAGCACAGGGCTGTACTCAGCACAAAGCAGAATCAGCAAAGGGAGAGGGTGTGTGGGTGGTGCTCAGAGGAGCCACGTGCAGGGTGCCCCAGGGTCCACTCCCTGGAGTCATATAGGACACACCTGACTGTAAGAACAAGCTCACTGGAGACTCAGCACGCGGGCTTTTGCTAAGGGCTGGTCACATGGTTCCCCCTGCCTGGCCTGTGTGGAAAGTCCCGACTTGTCCAGAAGGAGGGTGGGCTTGGTGTGGTCTGTGCCAGGTTCACAAGCACTGCGGGCACAGAGCCACTTGTAGGAGTTAATGGTGCTGGGAACTCTCCCAGAATCCGAGTTCCCAGATGTCAGTCAAGGGCCAGCCTTGCACACAGGCCCTGGTAGGACACAGCCTTGGGCCTGCTGTGTGAATTCGTCCCCACGCACCTCACTTTACGGAGGTGTGGAAGAGCTGACCTGCCTGAGGTCACGCAGGTAGTAGTGTTGGAGCCAGTCTGAGCCCAGGCACCTTTTCTCCAGAACCGAAAGTAACCTGTGTGCAGTTACTTGATAGTTTGTGGCCAGGCAGAAGCGGGAGCAGCATTGTCCATCTGCTTTCAAGGGCTGTGTTCTCCCCGCCTGCCTGTCTGTACAGGAATAGGACAAACTGTTAAAAATCCTAAGCTTATAGAACCCACATGGCAGTGTGAGAGCCACTATTCCTGGAGCGCATGTTACTACACCCTGAGCTGTACACGCTTTGCACTCGTGCATTGTTTGAAATCCTTGGAACCCCGTGAGCACGGCAGAGGCGGGCTCAGAGCTGACATGTGCTGCCTGCAACAGACACGGGCCTTCCGCAGGCTCTGCTCTCAGCACCCACGCCCTGTAAAGGTGCACAGATGCTACTCTTCAGTGGCTGCTAGCGTGTCTTTCTGCTCTACCACCATCGCTTTATCTGAGAAACTCATTTTTATTTTTTTTATTTTTTTGAGAGGGAATCTCTCTCTGTCACCCAGGCGGTATGCAGTGGTGTGATCTCGGCTCACTACAGCCTCCGCCTCCTGGGTTCAAGCAATTTTCCTGCCTCAGCCTCCTGAGTAGCTGGGATTACAGGCGCGCGCCACCACACCCAGCTAATTTTTGTGGTGTTAGTAGAGATGGGGTTTCACCATATTGGCCAGGCTGGTCTCGAACTCCTGACCTCAGGTGATCCACCGCCCTCGGCCTCCCGAAGTGCTGGGATTACAGGCATGGGCCACTGCACCCGGCCCCTAAAAAGTCATTTTTTCGGTAAATCTGAACGAAACTCTTCCTCTCGTTGTTTGTACTTCCTGATGCGTCAGACCCCTGCCTAAAGAGTGGTGCAGGCTCCACACCTGCAGCAGTCCAGTGTGCTGGGTGTCCCGTGGGAACCACTCCGTGTTTGTCTTCAAATGAAGAAAATACAGTCAGCTACTTTGTAGGTGAATGATTTTTGAGGCGAATTGTTAATCCTCATCCTGTTTCTAATGTCCAGGGTGCTGTCAGCCTAGCTTCCTTTTTTTTTTTTTTTTGAGACGGAGTCTCGCTCTCTTGCCCAGGCTGGAGTGCAGTGGCCAGATCTCCGCTCACTGCAAGCTCCACCTCCCGGGTTCACGCCATTCTCCTGCCTCAGCCTCCCGAGTAGCTGGGACTACAGGCGCCGCCACCACGCCCAGCTAGTTTTTTTGTATTTTTTTTAGTAGAGACGGAGTTTCACCGTGTTAGCCGGGATGGTCTTGATCTTGTGACCTCGTGATCCGCCTGTCTCGGCCTCCCAAAGTGCTAGGATTACAGGCTTGAGCCACCGCGCCCGGCCGCCTAGCTTACTTCTATAGTGAGATAGATATGTTCAGAGCCTTCAAGCCGGTGTGGACACTGACCCGCTGACCCAGACCTGCAGAGTTAGGAAGACAAGCTTTCTTTTTTTTCTCTTTTTTTTTTTTTTTTTTTTTTTTTGAGGCGGAGTCTCGCTCTCTTGCCCAGGCTGGAGTGCAGTGGCCGGATCTCCACTCACTGCAAGCTCCGCCTCCCAGGTTCACACCATTCTCCTGCCTCAGCCTCCCGAGTAGCTGGGACTACAGGCGCCCACCACACCCGGCTAATTTTTTGTATTTTTTTAGTAGAGACAGGGTTTCACTGTGTTAGCCAGGATGGTCTCGATCTCCTGACCTCGTGATCCGCCCGTCTCGGCCTCCCAAAGTGCTGGGATTACAGGCTTGAGCCACCGTGCCTGGCCTCTTTTTTTTTTTGAGACAATCTCGTTCTGTCGTCCAGGCTGCAGTGCAGTGGCGCGATCTCGCCTCACTGCAAGCTCCGCCTCCTGGGTTTGAGTGATTCATCTGCCTTATTCTCCCGAGTAGCTGGCACGATAGGCGCCCGCCACCATGCCTGGCTAATTTTTCCATGTTTAGTAGAGACAGGGTTTACCATGTTGGCCAGGATGGCCTCAAACTTCTGACCTCAGGTGATCCACCTGCCTCAGCCTCCCAAAGTGCTGGGGTTACAGGCGTGGGCCACCGCGCCTGGCCGGAAGATGATCTTCCTATAGGGTTGATATTAGTTCCTGTTTGTGTGGCATGGCTGCCTTCCATCAGCGAGTGTGAGTGTCGCTGTGACGTCACCACCTTTTGAAATGGATTGTGTTAGGTTTGGAGTAGTTACATGGTGCTGTGCCATTTGGTAACTCCACAGATGTACCGAAAGGTGAGCTCACGGTGGAACATTCCTCAACCAAAGTGGTTTAAAGCTGCAAAAAAGGGTCATTGTGCTGGTTGGTGTGTGTGCTGAGTTTGTAGCGACATCAGAGTAAAGCATTACTTGTCCTGCTGCTTTCTTGGGGGTCACAGTAACTATAAAACTTTGAGCCAGCAAGGCAGAGACGACCCTTCGGGGTAAGGAGTGGAGCGCTGGAAGATCCTCGGTTTCAGAAGCAGGTCCAGGTTCCTCAGGGAGAGGAGGCCTTGCTGCAGGGCAGAGGAGGGGCGGCAACTGTAATCCTTGTCTGTAGTGAAGATTGTATATGAAGTTGCAGTGACTTAAAAAGGAAGGACTTTTGCAGGGAGGCATCGAGATTGTACTTTCTAATTTCGCTTGCTTCAGACTTGACTTTGGAATAAATTAGAAGGCATCACAATTGACCTGGACATTCCGAAAACAAAACTGAAGAGGCGGCACTTCTCTAGTAGTCCGGTTAGCTCATTTGGTAGATGTGCTTTTTCCTCCTTTGTTAACAGTCACCGATAAGGATATATAATTCTCATATATATTTCATATGTGTGCATATGTGTGTGTGTATGTGTGAACTGGCAGATGTTGATTTCATAAGGACAAAATTATTCTGCGAACCTTGCACCAATTACAGGGTGTTTCAATGGAAAATCTTCACCAAATAACCTGTGTGTTCGTTAAAAGAGAAGTTATGTCTGATTAAAATGTGTAACGGACTATTTCTGTGTTGGATTGTTTAAAAAGTGATTGCTTCATAGTGTACTAAGATCATCTTTTTAAGGGGAAGGGAGAAAACAACTTTCTAGTTACTTTCACGTGTTAGGTTCGCTACATCAAAGCAAATCTGAAGACCACACCTGTGACATTGCAGAGACCAGACGGCAGTGTGTGCAGCCATCAGCGGCAGCTGCTTCCTCCTCGCGGTGCCTCGTTCCAGCACGAGGACAGCCCGTGCGATGTTGGGAGGAGCCAGGGTGTTTGGGGAGGCAGCTGCTCTAGACGCTGGCTGGCTGTGATGGGGGCAGCCCGCTGTGTAGACAGCGCTGGGCTTGCTCCATCTGCCTTGACCTGTGTGAGTAACTGCGCTGGGTTTTATAGGTTGAGGCTGAAAAGGCTCCTGTCGCTGTATTTCTCTGTTAATTTAGGATTCCAGTTGTAAGCAGCAGAGGTTTCGCGCCTAGAAAGTTAAAGAGGGATTTAAGGCTGTCTCACGAAACTTCAGGGCAAGAATGGAGAATGCAGGTTAGATGTCAGAGAAGAACCAAAAAGGCAAATAAGGGATTCTCAGGGGCTTCGGAGTACTTGTCACTCTGTGTCATATCTCTGCATAGCCGCGCCAATCCCCAAACCAGCTTCTCTGGCCATGTGGTGGGACATGGCGGTTCCCACAGATCCTGAGCCTACCCCTGCCTGTCCTGCTCCAGCTGGGGCCGAGCTGGGGAAGTGCTGGGCTCCACCATCCTGCAGCGTTCTAACGGAGTGGGATGAGCCTGCCCCTGCCTGTCCTGCTCCAGCGGGGCCCGAGCTGGGGAAGCACTGGGCTTCACCATGCCGCGGTGTTCTAAAGGAGGGGGAAGAGTGAAGATCAGGGTTGCCGAGCTTGTTACTTTTGCTAGCTTCATGGGAAATCTTGAAAAGAGAAAACAAAGGGCTTCAGTCAGCCAACCATCGACAGCAGGCATGTGGTGGAAGCCGACGGGCTTCTGTGGCAGCTTCGCAGGCCGCTCATCTTCTGTGGACCCCCTGACAGGCCAAGGGTCTTGCTGTCGGGTAGCAGGACCAGACGAGCCTGAATGTGGCTCTGCGGCTCACAGCACAAGTGCCCCTTGAGAGCCGCTGCCGCCGCCTGGATGTTTGCTGGGTGAGCTCCAGATTCACAGGAGCCCTTTGTGCCA